AGTCATATTTTGGTTAAAAGGCGGAAATAAATAGAATAAAGATAGAAAAAATTTTAACTCGGGTTGAATGAATTTTAAAATTCTGTAAAAATTCCTTAGAAAAAGTAATTTATGGCTTCTAAAGGCGGATTTTAAATCACATTTTGCCGATTTCTAAAAGAATTAAAATACAAGTGTTCAATATAAGAATAGAAAGACCATAAAAATAGCATATTTTCACATTTAATCAAAACCAATGGCAAATTTTAAGAATATACAATATTTAAAACATTTAGATACGAGTTTTTCAAAATCACGTCTTAACAAACTATTCATCGCTCCTATAGTATTATAATCTGCTAAGTTCAAAATCTAAAAAAATATTTCTGTTCGGATTTTTAAAAATATTTTATTCAAATATTTTTTTTAATAACATTCCAAGTAGAACACCCCTCTCTATGGATCAAAAACCACGTCGTAGTTTACCGCAGAAAATATCAAAGTACATACAAGACTCTTTTGCTAACCTGAGTTCATTTCTTTTAAATAAAACAAGTGAAGAAGAGAATATTTTTTACACGCCTACAAATTCATTAGAAAATACCAAAGTCAGCAAAAGCAAAATAGAAGATTTGGATCAAATAATATCTAATAGCTTCGAAGATAGTTTGGATTGGTCTAAAGATAATCTTTTATCCGAATATACAGTAAAAAAAACAGACATAAATTCAGATAATTTTAATCAACAATTTATGCCAGAAAGATCGAGGAATGGATCTACGGATAGTTTACACGAAATACAGACTGATGGATGTAAAGAAACAAATAATAATTCTTTGGAATATCTCGCCGAAAATTTAACAATAAGGAATGATATTTCTGATGAGATTAATTTTGATGATTTGGAAATCAAAGATTCATTGCTTTCGTTTAGAAACGGTACCAACCAACGTAGAAACACACAGGACATCTTTTCTAACAGTATTAATGTAACAAGAGATCAAAGTATTTCTTTTTTGCATGCCAAAGTACAAGATTTAGAACTTAGATTAAAGGATAAGGAATCCAGGGAAGAAGAATACAAAAGGCTTCTTGAGGATCTCGATGCAACAATCAGTTATATTATAGAAAAAGAAGAAACACACAATAAAGATGTATATTTAAATATTATTAAAGAAAAAACAAACATAATTGACAAGCTTAATAGTGATATTGATAGATATGATTATAATGAAAAGAAATACAAGGATCATATTTCCTTTTTAGAAAGAGATCTAATGAACAGTCAAGAAAGATCAGATGCTTATAGATGCATAGCTAGCGAGAAAATAACCATTTTAGAAACAGAAAGAAATAAATTAAGAGAAAATTTGGACATCGAAAGAAAAAAAATTGAATCTATGTGTAAAAAAATAGATCATTTAGAAAAAATGGTTTCTATTCGATCCGAAGAAGGTATTGAACTGGTAGAATATTGTAAATATTTGTTAAAAAACCATCAAAAAATTGATTTTTAAGTTATTATAATAAAAGTAAAGATTTCAATCGGAAAATATATTTATATTTTTGTCATGAATTCCATGTATTAATTAAATTCTAAACGTTATTTATATAAATAATATAATTTAATTTTTGAAGATAAATTTATTTATAGTTAATACAATCAATATAATAGAATATTTATAGTTTTAAATAAGTAATACTTCAGAATATAAGAATTAAAAAAATCATATTATGCTGCATTTGACTGTAACGTCTAAGATTTAATGGTGTTTTTATAATTAAGAAAATTTGGATTTTTAATAGTTTTGCTCTTGTTTAAAAATAAAAATGTTTAAATATCATTGATCTATCTTTTCTTTTTAATAAATTATATTTTGCAAAAAAAATTAATTTTTTAAAAATTTTTAGACAAATAAAAGATAACTTTCACACCAACATAATTCAATTCTTATTTTTAATTTAATTTATTCCACAACGATTATGCTTAAAATTATTAAATTACTTCCTAAAAAATCTAATCAAATGGCAAATAATTGATTTGCAGTATATTCGATGTATATTTTTTTAATTATTTTTTGATTTTTTTTCTAAAAACATATGATCTCCTAAAACTAGAATAATTCATGATTACAAATATTTTTTAAATCAGATTATTATATTTATTGCTAATTTAAATTTCAAAATACAAAAAATTAACCAAAAATGAATTGAATATTTAATAATAAGAGTTTTCTTTTTAGTTTTACAAAATTTTATATCTAGATAGGTTTTTAAGTATATTTTTAAGCATTATACCACATTTATAATCTCTTAGAGCTTGGACAAATTTCAAATAGTGAAATTAGGAACAAAATTCTTAATAAATTTAATTTGTCAAAAAATTCATTAAATGATTTATAGAGATTAAAAAGGAGAGTGAGGATTAAATATAGAATAAAAATATGTAAATTAAACACATGGATATAATAGTGAATCATTTTAAGCGAAAACCAACCAAGATCAATTTACAATAATGTAGACATCAAAATATAAAAAACGCAAATAGTTCACATAGTCTTCAAATAATACATATTGTTTAAAATAACATATCTCTCATATTCAAGCCAGAAATACATTTATAATAAATTAAAACTATAAAAATAAATACTCGCTGCGTATTATAACTCTTTCATACCCTAAAGACAATATATCTAGCCTTAAAATACAATTATAAGTAAGATAATTTATACTATATGACAAAAACCGAATATGTATTTTTTTGATAGATTCCGTTGATTTTTTTTATCATTACACAATATTTTGCAGCCTCAGCAGGAATAATCTCGATTTATTTTTTTGTAGTTCCAAAAAAAAAGATTTTCTAGAATATCTAGATTCAAGCCTTTTCCAATTACTTTATAGTCGATAAACATTATACGAATTGTCGATATAGAAATATGACAAGAATCAAAATCAATTCGACTTTCAAATCACATAGTCTCTATGTGCCATATTCTTTGACGTAAAAACTTCAAATCAGAAAAATGCAGAGGAAGATGCAAAAGAGACTTTGGAAAACGGAACTCTGTAGTTTAGAGCAAAAATCTCAATCTGAATACATTGATATGTAATTTCAATATTTAATATATTAAAGATCAGTTGAAATCTAATTTGTATGTTTCATAGATAAAAATACAAGCTTCATAAGTATGTTATAACAAGATAATTAATAAATAGAACTTTTAAATCTGGAAAGAGAGATGTTTAGAAACTAAGAAATAAGTCTAGAAAATTTTAAAAAAATGTTCGTTAAAACAAATGGCGAAGAAGGGCTCACTTTATTTTAAATAAGCACCCAAAGAAGAGTCTGCTTTTGTTAACGAAAAACAAACTAAGCAAGAAAATATATTCAGAGAGAAAGCGACGAAAAAGAAATTCTTCGAAGTCTATAAAAAACTTATAATTCAGGAGATTAGGCTGCGATTTGATCCAAAAACTATAAGGATTTAAGTTTGAAATTATAATTGGTATACCGACTTTTTATTCTGGGATACGCCAGCTATACATTAAAATATTTTTAGGTCATTAATGTGAAAAAAAATTATGGCATGTTCGAAAATTCAGAGTATCGAATATGCTTAGGACCTTTTTTCCAAGTCTTTTTTGATATTTTTTTTCTTTCGATAAATTTTAAAAAATAATTAATTGGCTTCATAAAAAGAATTAAATTTCAATTAAGATATTTATGGTTGATTGACATTCTATATATATTTAGTATACTGATCAGGCCTCAGAACCATTACATTCAAAAAACCACGTTCTTATCCAATTTTAACAGCTCTATTCTGTATAAAAAAATGGTTAGGTCGACACTTTTTCGTCAAACGACAAATTAAGAATTTATAATAACTTAAAACAACATAACTGATGAAATCATAATTTATACTGTAATATTTTCTGACTCTATCTAAATAAAAACATATAAAAAGTATTTCTTATTACTCTATATGAGTTTAATGGAATTAATTTATAGAAAATTTAAGTTTTCTTTCAAAACAACTAAAGTATATTAAATGCTATATAATGAATATTTGTTAAGAAATGAAACAGTTCATGTTAAAATTTTATTCGTAACTTAGATTAGATGATAAAATTTTATTTCTATTTAATATATTGCGATATCTATTTTTTCTGGTACAAGTTATAGTATACATTAGTGAATTTAGTTAATATCTTTCACAAAATTATGTAAAGTATAATAATAACATACTGGCATCAATAGAAGGTTCGTGCTTTTCTGCTCGATAAACGAAGTAATTAGGCCTAAATTGCTATTGAAAGTTTTAAAAAAACGTGTAATTCTATTATAGACTTTAGTTCTTTCAATAAAAAATAAACTTTGAATGAAAGGAACTAATGAGTCTGTTAAACATTAATCAGATAAACGATCAATAATGGCTGTTTTAAGCAAATCAAAGATTACACAATAGCAAACTATTATCTAAGATTCTTTACATGGTTTTATTGCATATAAAATATCCCAAAATATTGACATTCCAACAAACATAAACCTGTAGATTTTTTTTATGGATAGAAATTTGAAACTTAAACTTAGAAATTTTATTTTGTAGACATATTAACAATCATAAAAAGCAAAAAAATCTAAAAATGAATTAAATTAAAAGTTTAATTATAAATTTCTAAAAATCTAAAAATATTTTAAAATATTTTAAAATATTTATCTAATAGGCTATAATTTATTTATATAGAAAACATCTTTATATTGGTCATAATTTAAATGACCAAAAAAATATTCTGTTAATTTATAATTCTTAAATTACAAAATAAGTAATCCAAATATGAAATTAAAAGTTTTCTAGATAATTAAAAAAAACAATGAATCAATATGTTTCTGAAATATAATTTGTATGCAAATTTTATGAAAGAAAGCAGTGAGTTGATTATAAGATCAGCAATGAGCGAATTTTAGTATTAGAAAACAATGTATAAATAAATCTTACTAACATGATATATGTTAAGGGGGGCTAGCTCAGTGGTAGAGCGCATGCTTAGCATGCATGAGGTCCCGGGTTCGATTCCTGGGCTCTCCATTTTACAAATTATATTTTTAGCTAGATTGAATGCTAAGGGATTCTTTTATTTCTAGCCTTTTGTCAAAAAAAATATAAATTTTATTTGTTTTAGTTATATGTAATTAACAAAATTATTTCCATTTTTACCATAATAATAATTTTTATTTTATCTTAGTTTCAAATCTAGAAAGGAAAAAATGGGTTTTAAAGAGCGAAGAAACAATATAAGATTGGAAAAGTTTTTAAGCCAGATTTTTTAAACGAAAAATATTTTATTTTAATTTACGTCATTAATTATTTCATTTACACTGTAAACTCATAAAGATAGCAGAATAACCTAATATGAAGACAGATTAAGTAAAAAAAGAAATAATAGCCAAAAGTTAAAAGCTTTCAATTTATTTACATATTGCTTGTAATTTTCTTAACCATAATGCTCAAGAATGTTTTAAAAGCAGTATCATATATAATTTATTGTACTTTCCTAAAGCAAATTCATATAGCTGGAATAAACATTTATCGCATTTAAGTTAACTTATTTCAAATATTTTTAATTCGTCTGTAGAAATTTAAATATATCAATATACAATACAAATTTAAACAGTAATTCTTAAAATACCGTTCGATTTAAGCTTTAGAGATAATTTAACTGTAAATATAGTAATAGCATTTTTCTGACTTTTTCATTAAGATCTTGTGTTTCTGTAACTAATATGATATTATAATTGATTCGTAAAAACTATTTTTTTAATCTTTAAAATGTTTTTTAGTTAGATTTTCTTCGGAGTCCTTAAATCTCGGAATTGTCTGTTTAAACAGTTAAGTTTGTTGCTGTGCAATATAATAATTTAGTTTTATGGAAATATAGAATTTCAGTATATACCTTTAAAATTAATTGAAATAATATGAGCTTTGGATAAATTCTTTTTATGTCTAAAAACCATTTAGAATAAACATTATATTTGCTTTTTTTGTAAGCTTTTATTCATTCATTCATCCTTAACACTACAGCCCCGTGCGAGTCGCGGCCTTCCTTAGTAATACCACTGTCAGGTTTTTTTCGAGTGGGTTTGTTTTCTTATTTGGTTTCGTAGCAGGTAGTTTTAAAGGGTTGGTTGTTAGCCCATGGCCCAACCCAAACATGGACGACCAGTCGCATTTAGTCGCCTCTTCCGACAAGCAGAGAATTCTCCAAGCCAATTCTGCTCCCGGCATGGTGGGAATTATAAAATACTATAGTATGTATATTAATAGCTTTAGATATCAATAATAATGAAAAATATATTCAGAGTTTAGTACTTAAAAAGACAATCGAAGTATTTATTCCAATCCACGAAAAAGATTAAGTTTAAATAAATTAAAATGAATTTTTAAGAATCGCAAATGGTTTTAACCAAAAAATCTGAGAAGTTAAATCTGGTTTGACACTAAATCCCACAGATAAATATTAAAACGAATTTGGTTCTGCAAACAAAGCAAAATCAAATCAAAATTCCAGTCTTATATGTAAAAAGGCCAATTAATTAAATTAAACTGGAATTAATAATTTAAGTGCAATCAATATATTTGCCAAAAATAAAAATATGAATTAAATTCGATATCTCAAAAAAGCAAATATCTATTTTATTTATTTATTAATTTGTGGGCAAATTATTTCTTCAAACTTTTATGCAGTTTATTCTACCACTTAAACCACCTTGCTTTCTTCTACTAAATCCAGCTCTTCATTATATCTATTGTCTGTTGGTTTAGAATAGTTTCTCTATATGAAGTAAGAGATTTAAAATTTTTTGTTTTATTACCTTTAACATTATCGCTTTCGTTGCTCACTTGTTTGAAAGGGAGTGTTGGTTTTAAATGCAGATCCGCTTTATTAAGCATCCACTGACACTCTCTTCGGCATTTAATCCCGATTCAAGTCTTTTTCGTCAATCAAAGAAAATCGATTCGCCTGTAATTTTAAGTACTTAACTGGTTGTATGCTTTCACATTCATGTGTATTTGCAGCATTTAAGGTATTAATTATGGTATTTTGCCACAATACTGTCTCAAGTCATCACACAAGAAATTATCTCAATAGCAAATTTATAAATAAGACCCAACTCATTGGCTAATAAGTCATATTTCTCTGTTTTATAGCTTCAATTATTTTAAGTGAATCTTGCGAAGTAATTCCTAGTTCATTTCGTGTCATTTTAATTTTACTCTTATCTAAAATATATTTGTCGAATCTATTATTCCTCTATTACATAAGAATATTATATATATCAAAATTAATGAACTTTTGTAAAAGGCCATAACCCTTGGTGGATTATCGATCAGATTTAATGCAAAGAAAATATAATAATTCTAAAAATAAAAAAAACGTTGATAAAACCGATGAAAATATAAATAAACAGAAAAAAAATCAAAGAGGATATTATATCTATCAAAAATATAACGACTGGATAATAACGGATTATAGTTTGCAAAAGAATCGAGAAATATCGAAGTTTTATTATCGTAGACATTTTTTATTCAGTAAAATTGAATCCGGTATAATTATGGATTATGAATCATGGTTTTCTGTTACTCCAGAATTTTTAGTAAAAAAAGTAATAAATATTTTCAATCAACTTTTGAATTCTAAAAAAGAAGTCATATGTGGTTATTGTGGCGTTGGCGGGGATACCGTCGTATTTTTGAAGCATGGATTTGATGTATATGCTTGCGATATATTATACTCCAAAATTAAATACTTGAAAATCAACAGTAGCATATATAAAAAAGAACAAGATAAGAAATATATCTATGGAAATCTTTCCTGTGAAGTTTCGGATTTTCTAACATTGAATGTTGATAGAAAATATGAGTATGGTTTCTTATCACCACCGTGGGGTGGAATGGATTATAAAAATTCAGCTTTATTCGATTTATACTCAATCGATTTTGATAAGATTACAACGAAAAGCCAATCAATCATAAAAAATTGTGTATATTTTCTTCCTAAAAATTGTAATCCTCGCCAAATTGAAGACATAATAAAAGATTCAATAACTGTAAATATTATGTTTCAGGAAAGAATTTTGGGTTTAGTGGTTTTTCATGGAGATGATTTTTTAGCTAATAAAGAGGCAATATGTTTAGCTTTTAAATAAAAATTTTAATTTCATAGCAAAAATATTTATAACTAAATCTAAAACCAAGGCTCTACTTATTTTTTTTGTGAAATTATCCAAGCTTGGAAAAAACGGCTTCAAAATCCTACGAACAATTTAAGAATTTATATAAATTACAGCAGTTGCGCAGAAATCCAGTGAAAAGGTGATTTAAATATAATTTATTTCTAAAATACGCTTACACATATATTCCATTCCTCTTTTAATCTGTTGTACCTCGGAACTATAGGGATTGGCCTATGAATACAGGTGGTTTATTCCCACCACGAAAGCAACAATGATTTTCACACAAATTCTATATAATTATTGCCAGCCAGATAGTTTTTAATGTATTTATACTCTCTCAACCTTGTTTGGCATGTATGATATATAATTATTTGTGAAAATATTAAAATTTTATAGGTATTTAAATATAATGCATGTATTTAATGTAATATTCGGTAATATATTTTGATCTTTTGGTTCTTTTACCAATTAAATAATGTATCTGTATTATTTAAATTTTTGAAAATTAACATTTTGAAGCTGAAATTGATTATGGTATCTTAAGATATTATATACGATAATGTTTTAATCAATCAAAAACCGATGATATAGTTTTTTTACCTTAACGTTTGTTTGAGTACTTTTGTGCAGTGAAAGAGAAAATGCCATTAAAAAGTATTTTTTTTGATAAACTTAATTAAATTATCTTTTTAATAAAAGATTAATAAATGAAATATTTGACTTTTTTAGTATATTAGCTAATTTTTATAACTCTAATATTGCGATTTCTTTATTTAAAAGTGTCTCATATTTTTAAAACAGTGGCAAGTCTATATTTTTTTTCATGACATGCACGCAATTATAGGTCAAACATAAATAACTGATACGCCAGCACACCATCAGTATCTCTTAAGATACCTACGTCTCAAAGCTCTTCATCTATCAGGTGTGTAGAACCTAATTAATAGGCGAGGTAGTTGCCCAGATTTCGTTAATGTTCGTTGCATGGAGTGTAATTTTAAGTAGAAACCAACACTGGACTTACCCAAGACTATGCATCATTCTTACATACTCTTCACTTTCTGAATCCAATAAACTTCTAGCTAAGATATATTTCAGTGACTTACATGGGGTTCACCTAGTCAGAGCAGTGTCATATTAACAGGCTTAATCCGCATCTTAGCTCTCCCTGCTTTTAATTATTTTAATTTTTACATTTCCCAGGCGCTTATTCTTCCAAACCAAGTGAGAAAGGCTAGGTTTCCATGGTTTCTTACGGCAATTCCCTACAATTTCAGTTAATTTTTTCGATCTAGTTACATAAAAAACTACAAATAAATTCGTAGTAAAATTAAGCATTACTTAGACCTTCTTCTTCTCATATAATTCAAATAGAACAACCGAAATGTGGCGTGGTTTTATTCCCACCAAAAATCCAAATAATGATTTCATATATTAATCTCGCATACTTATTGCCAAGCAGATGGTTTTTTATGTGTTTATCCTTCTTCCACACCGATATTTTGATATAGAGAAATTATGATGCGTTTTTGCAAATATTTATTTTATGCACTACTATGCAATTATCAAATTAAAGCATAAAAGTTGCTTGCGCGTTTGAGAATGAATAAATTTATTATTAAATAAAATTATTCTTACGTAAATAAAACATGAAACAAATATCTTAAATAAGAACAAATATTTTTTTCCTGATTTTGACCTTTCAAATTCGTTTTGTATGCTTTTGATAATCATTTTTACGAGATATAAATTTTCAATTTAAAGATGACGGTTAAAGCTCGCTTCTTTGCGCCTATAATTTGGCGGCATCGCTCTATCTTAGTTCTTTTTCTTTTTTTCTAAGAAGATTCTGTT